TGAATGTTTATGATCTATCACAAGAATTTGACAGATCAAACAACAATTTGATCGATTTTTCAAAATTCAATTTTAAAATATGTTTAATAAAAATTCAATTTTAATTTTTTTTTAAAAAAAGATTGGATAAATTTTAAAAATAATTTAAAATTAAATTTTTATTAAACATATTTTTGATAGATCAATTAAACAAATAAATTTGGTAACACATACCACTTAGGTTGTAATTATTCCCATAAATAATTTATTCAAATTATAAATATTCCCATAAAGTGGTAATTATTATTATTTTTTAGAATATATCAAATTTATTATTCGGAATATATTGAAATTATTATTTTTGTTATCTCTAAAATATTTGCGATCTATCCTAAGATCTTGTGATTTATCGCAAGTTTGAAGTAATCTCCCCCAAATTTTTTTGAAAATAGTATGTTTGTGATCGATCAAATCTCTCCACGGTCGATCAAATCTCCCCATGAAGTTGTAAAGATTTTCACAAATTTTGTAAACATACCATTGAAGTTGTAAATATTCTCACAAATTTAGTAAATATACCACTGAAGTTGTAAATATTCCCATAAATTTGATAAATTAAGCACACAAAAGTGTGTATTGATCAAATCTTCCCATGATCGATCAAATATCCCCATGATCGATCAAATCTCCCCATGAAATTGTAAATATTTGAATCTATTGAAGTTGTAAAGATTTCTACAAATTTGATAAACATACCACTGAAGTTGTAAATATTCTCACAAATTTAGTAAATATATCATTGAAGTTGTAAATATTCCCACAAATTTTGTAATTTTATTCACTACTGTTGTAAAATTTTCACTAATGTTGTAATTTTATTCATTATAGTCATAAATTTCACACTAATGTTGTAATTTTGCTCTCAATTGACTTAATAGCAGCTCAAAAATATGTCTTGTCTTGTCATTTCAATGTCTTGTCTTGTATACCAATCGATGTAAATATACCATAAATTTAGTAGACATACCATTTATGTTGTAATTTAGAATTTTCGGTATGGTACCGTAAATGCTCTTGGATGTACCGTAACCTTCTCCCTCTAAAAATATATATGACAAAATGATGATATGGAAACAATTTATTGGCTGTGTTGTGCATAGCACGTGGGCTTATCCACGTGGTGTATACTACTCATGCAAAAATTTCTCCACTTGACACACGTTTTCTTGATTTGATGTATGTCAACTGTGTACTTCTCCGGTTCACATTGGCATTGCTTTAGATATTTGCTTAGCATTAATGTTTTGTGTGGTACAGAAAAATAATATAAGAAAAAGAAGTTAGTGAAAAATTGAAGAAATAAATAAATAATATATTTGGTAAAAAATAAAAATAAAAATAATAAAAAAATAGATGAATTAATTTTTTCTTGCAACTCATCAAAATCAATCCCTCTAAAATTAAAAAAAAAATTAGATGAAAAATTAATTATGCGTGTTAATATATATGTTATTTGTCTATATTTCTTTTGATATATACATATATCATATTTATTAATGTATATATTATATATACATTAATTTCATATATAGATATAATAATAAAATATGTATTTATATTTTTTTAATAAAAATTAAAAAAATAAATTAATTAAAAAATAAATAAATAATATTTTTTTCATTTTATATATATATAAAAAATCAATCCTTCTCACTTTCTATCTCTCTTACCAATCACAAAGGAGGGAAGGAAAAATTTCTCCATTGAAAGATGAAAAGTGTATTATTTTCTATTTTTTTCATGCATCCTATTAGAAGGATCATAAACTTGAAGTTCTTAGTTACCACTTACCCCCTTCCCCCTAATAAAAAAAAAAAAAATTTTTGTAGACACTAAAGTTATAATTTTTTTGTGATTGATAAATTCAGAATATACGCAATCATCCGTATGAGAGCATGTTTTCCGTATTAACTCTCATCCATGCTCTCAAAATATACGTAATTATTTATTTTTTTGAGAGCATGGATGAAATTTTTTTAATATATTTATTTTCTATAATTTTTTTCGGTAGATCACGTATTGTAAAGTGAAGTGGAGGCCTATAGTAGATAAACAAACCTCTCATTTGTATATGGGTAATCCATCAAGTCGAAAAAAGAAAAAGATTTGAATCTCCGACATTTAATGTGAAATTTCACTAAACTTATATCAAACGTACGTTTTTATTAAGGAATCAATTCCATGAAGGATAGTCAAGCTTATAAAAAGTAAAATTTTTAATTCCACTGCAAACTAGACAAGCAAATTACTTATCTGCGAAGTACTAGTTAGACATAAAAATTTAATATAATCTGCTAATAATGATAGTGATATAATTCAATAAAAATATCATAGCTAGCTCTAATTGTTAGATTTATTTATTTATTTATTTTTTGGTTAATGGTAAAAAGTGTCTGGGTTGATCCAGCTAAAAACATAATCATTTATGCTGAGATAAATTATTAAAATTTAAATTTAAAATTTATAATATTTATAAGAGATAAATTTTTAATGATTTAATTTTAAAAAATTATTAAAATTAAAATTTAAAATATTTAAATTTATCATTCATTCTTGTTATCGTTCGAGTTCTGACGCAGCCCTTTTTCCCCGCCCACCAATTTTGGTGTGCGCGAGAGAGCGAAGAGAGAGAGACCAAGACCCGAAACATTAATTGGCAAAGGTCAACGACAAGTCGGTGATAAGGTTGGTTTTGAATTCTATGATTCCTCGGTTTCTAGGAAATGCTGCCATGCCATTTTTCATTTCACAGTAAAGTGAAAAAACTCAAAAATTAAACCCAAAAAATAATAAATAAAATTAAAATACGTGTGCACCTCAAAATTTAATAAATTTCACCCAATAAACGATAAAAAATATTCAAAAATATGGTACATAAAATATATTAACGTTTTTATTTTTTTGGGTCTAAGTCAAAATTTTTTATCCATTTTAAAAACAACTTAGTCTTACAAAAGAGTTTGGAGGAAACAGAAATTAATAATTACTTACCGCAAAAATATTTTCTTTCTATGAGTTGCCCCCCCCAATATCGAAACCCAGGAAGCAAACCATGTTAGAATTAGTCCGCTTATTTTATTTGAACAGGAGAATATAACCGAATCTACAATTTTTTTTTTCTTCCAAATCTTCGCCCTCCCAATTTAACTATTTTATTTATACATAGATAAATAAAATATAAGTATTTAAATATTATTAAGGGCAACCCAATCCACGAGGTCAATCATTGCGGGCGTTACATGTAGGCAAGAATGGGAGCCCAAATGGATCATGCCTCCGTCCCTCTAGGGTTAAAATTTTTAATTTTATCCTTAAGTTTCATGTAATTTTGATTTAGCCGCCCCATTACTCAAAATTTCAAAATCTTACCCTTAAATTGTATGTAATTTCAGTTTCTATTTGGCTCTTCCACTATGAGTTACGAGTTTCCATTATTGGGTGTAGGCAAACTTACCCTACATATGAATAAATTATTTTTGTCAGTATTTTAAATGTAAACAACATATACGAGGAGTTATAAAAAAGAATGATACAATATATTATATATTTTTTAGTTATTTGTTATTCAGTTTACTTGACATAGAAAATGAATTGATCGTTTGGATGCATGAAGCTGAGGGTCATTGTTTCTAGAAGCATGCTCACCTATTTTATGATCAGTGCGGGAGCCAGAAAAATATGCCAAAAATGGATATAAATATTTTTTAACAAACTAATTTTTTTTTTACAATCGATAAAAATAGCAAATCCCAACATAATACCTCCACAACCATGACAACCAAAAACTTTGCATCATTGTTCAAAACAGAATCCCCTACATCTCAAACTCATCAAAATCCTTTTAATCCAGTGCAATCAACCACACAGCCGGTGCAACTTTCAGCCAAAAATATACAGTATGTGATACAATTTAGGGTGTAAATTGTGTCGTGTTCATGACGCACAAAAAAAAATTTATTTAATGTATTCTGAGTATTAAACATTAGTCTAAATTATTTATTATGCGTATTTAATAATCGCGTCAATTTTATAATCGTTCGTGTTGGGTTCGTATACATCCAACCTTACTGCCTCAGTCCGTCATTCAACCACCCCTACTGTCCCCAGAAACTGTACAGATTCCCAATAATACAAAGAGAGTAGTCTTTAACAATGCATGTATTATACTCCGGAAGAAACTCAATTTTTACCCAAAGAGTTTAATCAAACTCTTGTTGGCAAGTGTGCGTATGGTAAGCCTTCCATGAGTGTGATCAGTGAGTTTATCACGACAAGATGGGCTCTCAAGGGTGATTTTCAGATTGGTATATTAGATCCAAGGATTCCTATGTGGATTTCATTACCAGGTCTCCCCATTCATCTGTTTAAGCTGGAGTGTCTGAAGGATATTCTTATCCTATTGGAAGAATTTTGGTCATAGATAAACCAACCCTTCAGCTAACAAGATCAGGAGTGGCAAGGGTTTGCGTTGAAGTAAATCTTTTGGCTAGTAATTCGAAAAGAATTTAGTTAGCTTTGGGAGGCTCAAGTGGTCGTTGGTATAGAATTATATACGAGAAGGAGAGTAAAGTGGAAGTTCAAGGTTCAAAAGATCAATCTGAAGAAAAGCAAGAACATGTGAAATCTGATAAAGAAGGGAGTAAGCAAGAATTTTAGGAAAAGCATTTACAAGGGGATGGTTTCAAGGGTGCTCAGAATCAAGAAAAGTCTGATAAGAGACCTCAAAATAAGGATAAGCAAGTGGCTCAAGACCAATCAAGAAAGGGAAAGAAACAATAATTCAAACAAAAGCAGCAGGCTGTTAAGATTAATGAACTTAAGGAGGGAGAAAGTATAGCAGAGGTGCAGAATTGTGTTTTAGTGTTTCCATTGGGTAATTTGCTTAAAGGAGAGTCTTCTGGTGTGGTATAAGAACAAATTTACACCACTATACAATCCAGTACAATACTTCAGAGGCTAATATGGTAGCAGCTAATCAGCAGGATACAGGAGGTAACAAGCAGAGTGATCTTAACGTAGTATCAAGTGGAGGTCATATACAAGGTGATGCTCAGGTAATAATCACAGATAACTTCAGTGTAGTTCAATTGTCAATACAGGAAGAGAGTGAGCAGAATATCCCAGAACAACAACAATAGACACAGGAACAACAAGATACTTCAATAGCTATCCAGACTGACTTTGGGGGGGGGGGGGGGGGATGGAGTAGTAACAAAGGATGAGATATTAGTTAGCGCAATCAATATAGAGTTATGTGGAGAAAGAAGGATGTCACCCTCACTGGACTCAACCTTTTTGATTGACCATCAATTTGTGGACCGTGGAGGAAAAGGGATGACAGTAGATGATGATAGGGGCATTGTGATGGTTAAAGAGCATCCGGATAGAGGGTAAATGCGACTTAAAAGGAGGAGGAAAAAGGTGTTACAGCTAAGTGGAGTGATGCAGATAGTGCTGAATTGCTGATTCTCAATCAGACTCGGTGTGGGTATGTTGTGTTGTTTTGGGTTTTGGGTGTGAGAGGGATTGGAGAAGAGAAAGAGGGGGAGAATAAACTGTGCCGCCATCTCCCACCTTTTTATGCTGAAGTCGTCTCCCACTCTTCCCCTTTCCTTTTAGCCGGCTGTGAGGCCTTTTTTTGTTGGCAGAAGTAATGCTTTGGGGTGGGATCCATTTGTATGACATAGCAAGAGCAAGTCCACATCAGTTGGGTTGCAAGATTTGGGCTGCCTCTGGGCAGCATAATGCTCTGCTAAGGCAAAGAGAGGTTTTAAATCCTACCACTACTAACACATGCGTAATCAGAACTGAACGTCCTCTCGGAGTGGAGATTTTTGTCTCTCTGCAAGGGCAGAGTATTTGGGTGCAGTTAACTCTCTGAAACTCTCTGCCAAGGCAGAGTGCTTAGTCTTTCTTAGGATATCCTCCTCTAGAAAGTCTTTTGTCCTTCCCGTTTTATTGTTTTATCTCTATTACATTGTCGTTATAGTTGTTTTTCTGTTCTTTTTCATTCAGGTTATCATACCTAAATGTACTTCTTTCGGTTTTGCTGCAGATCTTGCCCTTCAGGTCATCTGGTACAGAGTGGTTTAATCCCTTGTGCAGGCATCTGGGGGTAGACAAAAGAAGGCCATTATGGATGAGGAAATGGAGAAGTTGTGGAGTAACCTCAAGTTTTCGGAGAAGGAACAAGTAGATTTGAATATTTCACATGGTGACAACGGTAGTTTGAGGGAGAAAGGGTAACTGTGCTTGATTGGTAAAGTGAATACCGTAAGGCAATTCAATAAGAAGGCTTTCAACAGCACAATGAGAATGGTTTGGAATAACTTGGTAATAGCCTGTTCTTATTCCAATTTTGCAACGGGAAGGACAAATGAAAAGTGATCGAAGGCATGCCTTGGAATTTCAATAATCAGTTAGTGCAGTTCATGGAGTACGACGGAAGTGTCCAACCAACCAATCTTGAATTTATGTTTTCAAGTATATAATCTCCCTCTGAATTGTATGAATAAGGCTACAGGGGAAATTATTGGGTCTGGCTTTGGTATCCATATGTGGAGACAGACATCATTCTTAAGAATTAGAGGGAACTTAGAGGTGTCTAAGCCCCTTTTACGATGAATGAATATAAGGGGAGTAAATGGTTCATCCTTTAAAGTTTTTTTTTCACATATGAGAGATTGCCAAATTTCTGTTTCTTCTGTGGTCCATACATCTATGGCTATTGTAACTGTACTATATCCCTTATTTATTCAGGGCAACATATCATGGATCCCCCTCGTTCGTTTTGTGATATATGTGGCTTGTGCTTCATAATAACTAGGTTTTTCTTGGTTTCTCCTCCACTTTCACTCTTACTGTTGGGTTGGTGAACGGTGAACGGTGAACGGAAGTAGCCATTTACCATTGCATTCAACTTACCAAATTCAGACTCTGCAATGATCAAAAGTTTGGACTGCTTGTTTATCATTATGTAAAGAAAAATCTACAATACCAAGTAAGGTATCGAAATCAAAAAGATTTGAGGAAAATTTCCAGCTTAAGTTATAATTAAAAACATAGAGCAACGTTACAAATTTAAAATGTATGAAAGTTTGTAGAATGAATCCTTAAAGTGTGAAGACCGATTCTAAGACCTTTTTAGGATTAATTTCAATTGACCAAATTGATTCTTGACTTGATTGATTTGATACGGTATAAAGGTAAATTTTGGTGGAAATGAATGATGGCATGAAATTCTTCATGAACCAGTCCAAGATAGAGCCAGTTCACCAGTTCTTGTCTCTCTCTGTTTTGCTGTTGCTTGTGTGTACCAGTCCACTTAAAAGGCAATTTTCGTGAGATATCACAATAAAACAGCCACAAAAAAGTCCCACGGATTTATCATAGTACATGAAGTCTAACAAGAAGGACGAATATAGCTATTTGGAGAAAGATTCAAAAGTAAACTATTTCAGAAAAGACCCTATTTCGTAAAAAGTTGAAAAGTAAACTATCACCCATTTTGACCATTTCTCTTCTGCTAAGCTAAAAATCTGTCCAAAACTTGAAGAGGAAGACGAGGACGAAACACGAAACTTAACCTAGAAATCTAGCTGAGATGCTGATTTTATTGGAAGACAACCTAAATATATCATATGTGGAAAAAGGGGTGTCTGTCTGCTTTATTTGTACAGCATAAAGAAAGCGAAAATGGCTAGTTAATGTCCTAGTCTTTGTTGCAGAAAAGGAAGTGAACGACACGCAGGCTCGTGAGCTTCATAGTCTGGAAGATAGAAGCAAAGATATGGCGTTTAATGCTTCCTCTAACAGGAGGGACTGGTACTTGATGGTCTATCTTCTTCTTCTTCATAGCTGCTTCATGTGCCTTCTTTTGCAATTCCTCCACCTCGATCTTCTTTCCCATTTCTGTACTTGCAAATGTAAACAGAGAAACAGAAAGATATGGCGTTTAATTCCACCCAGGGAATTGATATTGAGGGACGTGAATTTATAGTCAATGAACGGTGGGGGTCATGTGGATTCCTTCTATCCGCGTTCTTTCCGACAACACTACACCAGAAGTCTCATTAACTGACACAGAGAGAGAGAGAGAGAGAGAGAGAGAGAGAGAGAGAGAGCAAAGGGAAAGAAAAGTAAGCGAGAGAGAGGCAGATAGTGGTGACAAGCAAAGGAAAAAAACAAATGCAAATTTTGTGTGTGTGTGTGTGTGAGAGAGAGAGAGAGAGAAGCAAAGGGAAAGAAAAGTAACCAAGAGAAGACAGAGCCAGTGGTGATAAGCAAAAGAAAAAAAACTTAAGCAAATTGTGTGTGTGTGTGTGAGAGAGAGAGAGAGAGAGAGAGAGAGATTATAGAGAGGATAAGAAAAACACAGGATTGTTGTTCAACGTGGAAAGAAAGACAAGCACATTTGAACAAGTCGGGTAGCTTGTACACCGTGATTTTTGTTCTAAAGTTCGAATTGTACAATACACATTCTTTTTGATTTCATGTATGTACAATTTGTGCGAGAGATATAATTGTATGTATCTCAAAATTACACTATCTTCTCTCATTCTTCATTTACTCACTATTGGGTTTATCACTGCCCTTACATTATTATAAGGATCAAAATTATAATTGATTTTTCCACTTTATCTTTGGTTTTAATTTTATTCCTAAACTTTTAATTGTTACAATTTAATTTTTTAATTAAATCATTCCATCAATTTCCTCTCTTAGATCAACTTTGAAATTGATCAAATTGGAGTAATCTCCGACGGTTAAAAGTAATAGAAGGACTTAATTAATACGAAATTGATAGTTGAAAAGGACTAAATTAAGACAATAAAAATTTTAGAACCAAATTAAAACTAAAGGCAAAATTCAAATATCAACTACAATTTTTACTCTTCAACCCCCAATCACCACCACCAAAAAAAAAAAAAGGTCCTTAACAGACATTAAAATTATTAATTAAGAGAAATGTTATTGCTACATAAAAAATAAATTTAATTTATTCACATAATAATATGTCAAGTAATAAAATTTTAATAAAAAAAATTCAAGAATTACAGGAACAATAATAATAACAATATTAGACTACAACACTATCACATCATCATATCAAAGAAGTAAGTCAATTTTTTAAATTTTCAATAACATTAGTCTTTAATTAAACTTATATATTATTTGAATCCATTCCATGAAGCATGACTAAGCTTGTAAATTTTAATTTTGAGGGCAAACTAGAGCAAAAATAATTTACATTTAGCGCTGGGGGTGGTCATTAGGACCTTTAATGGCTGCGCCGTAGGTGGTTGGTTGTAGAAGAGGGCTGGACTCACTGGCAAGTGGCAAGGTCCTCGGTAACCGACATTTCAAAGTAGGTGAGAATACTTTTGCATTCTATGATTCCTCTGTTTCCGTGTAACGTAGTGAGGCCCACATAATCTTCTTTGAATATTATTTGAATTAATAGAGGTGATCGGATAGAATTAAAAGAAAGGATAAAATATATTTTTATTTTTTAATGTATGCGTTTAGTGTTTATTCAGTTTTTAATTTTTTAATTATATCTATTTGATTCCTAAGATTTTTAATTTATATCTTTTTAGTCTAATCTCAAACGTCTATCAGAAAATCTTGACGATTTTGGTTACGTGTCAATCACGTGGTTCTTAATTTTGTGTTTATTTTATCTATAAAGTTTCTAATCTGTATTTATTTGGTCCATAAAATTTTTAATTTGTATTTATTTGAACTCACGTGTGGCTAAAGACGTTAACAATTTTTTGACGGACGTTTGAGATTATACTACATAAATATAAATTAGGAACGTTAGGAAATAAATAAACACAATTAAAAAATTAAAGAACAAATAAATACTGCACGGGACTAAAATATATTTTATCCAGGAAAAAACAGAAAAGTCAAAGCCATTAGCAACTCCGTCATTGTACATACGTGTAGTGTCTCATGCAAGGCACACATTTATTACTACGGTCAAAAAATTATAATATAAATTGTTAAATCTAAGCTCCCATTTTTAAAAAAATATATGGGTTGAATTATTGTGGTTAAAAAATTAAAATATAACTCTGTGGAGAAAATCAATTTCTATTTAACCCTCTTAAGTTTTTTATTTATTTTTTAATTAATTTCTATTTGGCCTGCCCATTACTGGACGTAGGCAAAAACTCACCTGGCATACGGATGATAAATTATTTTCGTAAATATTTTAATGTAAACAACATGGGGAGTTCAACTAAGAAAGAAGGAAAGTGAATGTACTAGTGCATGTTTTAATATTAACCATTTTATATTATGAAATGAAATGAAATTCTTCGATGTGAATGCATGCACATAATAATACATGCACTTTCCTTAGATAGGTCATAATCACCACCGTAGGATATAATCTGTCGTTTCTCTTGTGTTGTGACATAGAAAATGAATCCATGGTTTGGATTCATGAAGCTGAGGGTCAATGTTTCTAGAAGCATGATCACGTATTGTATGATTAGCTGAGATACACTCCCTATATATTCTAGATACAGTAGCCCCACAAATATTGTACTATATATATATAATAGAGAGATAGTAGACTTAACAATATCTTCTATTATTCCTCATGGCCGGCAGCAGTATATGAGTTTCTTAATTACTTTTACATATGTTCGAAGAATAAATTAATTACTATAATTTTTCATACACGTATTCAGAATAAGGGTAAATTTATCGTATCAGTTACCTCTCGGCGAGCTAGAGCCCTTAGACGATCTCGAACTCTCATGTTGAAGTTTGCATAAATATCACTTTCCCTCCCTTCTAAACTTTTATTTGCTTGTGTGTATTTCTTCACTTGTAATGACATTTTCACAAAGATTCTTTGGAAAGGAATTGAAGTATAAAACTTGTGTGTGAACACCAGTAAATATAAGGATAAGTCAGCTTCATATCATATGTATATTAGGCCGGCAAAGGAAGATTAATATCACTTGCACACAAGCTAATTAAGCAGATATAAAGGAATTGGGGGTAAGGTAGCCTCTAGATGTTGATGTTATTAGTTTTCATGCAGGGAAAGATAAAGACAGGACAGAGAAATATATATATATATATATATGTGTGTGCGCGCGCGCGCGTTGAATATTTAACATAGGGCAATACAAAAACCTAATTCATTACAATCATTATATCGGTTCTGAGTCCCGACATCAAATGTGACCAATTTTTCATCCAACAACTTTAACAAATAAGATCCTCAAATTAGATTCATAAATTAGGTAAATTAGTTTTTTTTTCTTTCTTTAACATGCTTGTAAATTAGCATAATTAGGAGGAGACTATTTGAATTCCTTGCTTAGGATCAAGTAGGGGTGCAATGCGGGCGGATTGGGCTGGTTGGACAGCTAACTTTAACCCAACTCTAGGTATATAATCTTAAACTCTAACCCTACCTTGGGTTGAGGAACTCAACCCGAGCACTGCCCAAGTTTAATTCAGGCAGGCTCGGGTTGAATTCGGGTAGAACCCAAAATAGGTTTATTGTTTTAAACCTAATACATATATTATATAATATTCACCTAAATTAACAACCAATAACTTCAACTAAATTTTAATAGTGCTAATGCTAGAACAAAAATGAAAATGAACAAGAGAGACAGAGAACGATAGAACAAAAATGAAAAATCCGTGCTAATGCTTTATATATATACATGTACAATTTTTTTTTAATTTATCAGATTCGGGTTGAAACTGTGAACTCAAAACCTTAACCCGAGCTCAACCCAATTTGAATTTGAGTTGAAATTTTTTGACCCAAGCCTAATCCAAATATTAAAAATCCTTGCCCAAATCCTAATTTTTTCGGGTTGTGCTTGGGTTGAAATCGGATTGTCCAACCAAATTGCACCCCTAGGATCAAGGGGAGTCAACAAATTGTGATGGATAAAGTTTAAAAAAGGGTTTGCATAAATATTACCTGAATCGTTAATTGATTTGATACGGGTATAGGGACGGAGTATAATATTTTTTCTCAATCCCCAATGCAATTAGGATAAGTTTAGTTAGTGCACTTTCTTGGATAGTGGTTCACTTTGTAAATAGTATTCATGTTATATTTTTAGAAAAAGAAGGGCAAATTGAATCATAATCCAAAATAATGTATTGTTTAAAGGATATAAACAATAAAAGTTAGTGGCTACACATTTTTACTATAAGAAAAAGTTAAGTTTGTACTTCCAAAATTTCAGTTTAAAGATCACCAAATTAAAGAAATGATCATTTAAAGTTACAATTTAGGGTAACAAATTTTAGCGATATAGATTGCAAATTCACACTGTTTTGGGGCCCGTTTGGGATATCCACAATCTCAATAACTATGGTTTGGACAAGAATCAGGATTTCTTGTCAGGATATCACGCAAATATGCATGATGGGAACACTTATACATAATAGATTTCACTTGAATTCATAATGGGTGATCCATTACTAAGAAAAATTAAATCAGACTATATTGCAAGAGATGTAAATGATGTTTGGACAGCAACCCCCAGTTGAGGCAACTCTAATTTTTGTTAGTAAACTATCTATCCACCCACCTCACACCACAAATTATATACTGATAGTAGTGTAAAAAGCTTGTTAATAACTCCCCAATTAACAGTGCATATCCATGTCTTAGCAGAAGAGTATTGAGTTATAGTTTTCAGGCCCAGATTATACTTGAGAAGTTTTCTTGTTCCATTTATATTTTCCAAATTCTAGTAACACTAGCCTTTTCTTTCTGGCATCAATTTGAACAACCACCAAAACCCTCTAGATTCCCCCTTTTGCTCCACCAATATTATGAAATTCCAGTTGAACCATGACTAGCTTTCCAATCTTCATTCCATGATTATTACTATATTTGTCTCTATGCATCTTCCTTGAGTTAAAGCTGAAGTATAGAAGAGAAATTAACAATAGGATTGTTCCAGTAAGTGTCAAGAACTAAACCTCACCCAGAGCCTGTGTTTGGCTTCTAAGAATAGATAGATCGAACAAGTCTGAGGCCAGTCTGTCTTAGATATCCCAAATGCACTATATCGATGTTGAGAGTCCACATTGATCAAAATAGCACAAATCCAGGTATAAGCCAGCAATTAGGCCATGAATGGACAAGAAGTCTTAGTTTCACAAGAATTCTGGGTCAAGTTTGTCATTTGAAGAAATGTTTTAAGTACAAAAGAATCAAATGAACTTGAAAACAATGCTTGTCAGTGAGTAACTCAGAGATTTTGGATCTAAGTCTTCACAAGTCGGTTTCAAGTTTATCACAAAAGAACCTTGAGCATGAACCCCAGGAGTGGCAGTGACTGAGTTGAAATAATGACGGCTTTTAAGACTATTTTGCTTTTTCTTGTTCAATTTAAAGAAGAAAGGCAACAAGAGCTTGGAAGATTGATTTTGGACTTCCCCAAAGCTTAGGGTGGGAAACTTCCTTGCTTTTGGTTAACAAATCATGGACTTGATCTCCTTGTCTTCCCTGAAAAGTAAGCTGATGATTACTAGGTACTGGTTTATTGTTTTTATAAAACAGATGAATACCGTGATTTCAAAATAAGCTCAAAGTCATGGTTAGATGCCTTTAATAATACCAGCTAGATGAAGTACAATAAACCGTTACTTGGTAAGACATGGTTACTGGCATAAGGACACTGGACATTTCACAAAATGTTCAAAAATGAATGTCTTTAATGCATAGCTGCTGTGTGCTTCTGTGAACATGTTTAGGTACCTGAGCGGCATCCTTTAGTGGCCCCCAACATTCCACACGATTGTACTTTTTCAGACCAGAATGAAAATAAACTCGAACTAGGGCATCCATGAGCTCATGATGCTCACTGAACAGAACTGAATCTCCATGCAGCAAGGCCTTAAGTACCTGGCATTCAGCAAAAGATGATTTTAATCAATAGCTATGGATGTAGCCATTACAATCACAGAGGTGATCTTCGGAGAGTATCACCACAATCAACATACTTCAAAGTTTGATAAGAGACTGAATAAATTAAGCCTTGAACCCATTAAACACCTGCTAGAAGTGAAATTCCATAGTTCTGATAGCTTATACATTCTAGAAATGATGAATTTGTTGCCCAATACTCTAAGCACTATTGTTATGTAAATGGCCATTCAGAGAAGTTTACATGGTCCTTTAATGAAAAAAATAGGGTAAGAACAATGTTGACAAAAATGGGGATACCAGTACCACAGATAGTAATTTATCTAATGTTAGGCTCGTATCACGGTATCAGTACAAATTCAAAATGTTGATCCGACACAAACACCATTGTAATTGTCAGGAATTGAGTGATTTATCGGGTATCGATTACAATGGCATTGAAATCGTGGCACTATTTTGAGGCCTCAACCAACATCAATTTCAGGAGAGAATAAAAAAGCTAGGACCATGGAAGGTATATTTCTTGGGCAGTTTTAATCAGGTTAATGGTGTTTATGTATCAGCAAGGTCAGAGTTGCATATGATTGAGGCTTTGGAGGATGTAAGAGGATTTAAGTAGCATGAGGAATTATTGTATACCCTCTCCTATATGATGAACTTACCAAAGGCAACTCCTTGGAGAATATGTGGTATCTAAACTCCGCAGCCAGGTCTAGAAGGAGATTTGGCCCGCTCACATAACAATGGACATCTAGACTCATATCTCCCTTTATGTCCGTCCACTGTGCAACCACATCATCCTTATTGTACCACCCTTTCAACTGCAATACAAACATATATAGTGCAAACATTGAAGAAAAAAGATCTCTAAAACTGCAACTTCATACTAATGCGGTAACGCTTTTAATTTCATTGTGATCTCAAGATGAAAATGGTCCAAGTCCTCATCAGTCTGGATTTGTATAAAACCATATCACCATTGAAAAAAAAATTAAAATCAGAATCAAGCTAAATTAACTTATTCAACAACAGGTACATAACTTCTGCCACCAACGATGTAAAAATTAAAATGATTACCTGATCAAGGTGGATGACATTTGAGATAGTCAATGTTAAATTTGCTGTAAAATCACAATGGGAGAGGGTATAGGTTCTTGGCACAATCCCGGTATTCTTATTTGTCTCTTCTCCCATAAATACCACTTTCAGCTTTGAAGCTTCAAATCTTGCTGGAGCGCCCAAAAGCCTTGCAGCCTAGCAGTAATAGTGCATCAGAAATTCCACTACTCAAGGGGAAGTATAAAGAGAAACAGAAATTCCCTTAAACAAGCAGAAGATTAATGATGGAGATCAGAAAATGTCTTTTGAATCGCAAATATACTTTTTGGTTAGCATTCCAATAATTATTTGATTGAACTCATCTTTATAAAGCAACATAATTGCTTCTAAAACAAGAAAAAGGCTTTGCAAAATTAGAATGCTATGAACAGATAGTGTTTGCTGATAAGACAGCAGCCACACTTATTTCAATAGCATGTCATCAGGAATAGACAATTGCCTCCACAAACCTCTCCATTCACTTAAGCAAAACAGTGATTTATATTGTTGGAGAAAATTTTTGTGGGTGTTTTTATCATTTTTGTAGCACTTGCAATTGATCCTAAAATGTTAGGATCGATTGCAAGTACCACAAGATTAGGATTGATTTCAAGTACTACAAAAGTAGAAAAAACATGAACAAAAGTGATAAAAACACCCATTAAAGTAGTAAAATTTAGAGGTCCGGTACCAAATTTTTTTTTTGGGTACCCTAATCAAGTCCTATATTGTTTACATATGCTGAGCTATCCTTAGCTTTTGCTAGCACACCATAGGTGGTTTTTTTTCTTCTGAAATTTTGAGGTCCTACCCAGTGGAGAGGTTTTTTTATTTATGGTGAGGTCTGATCCAAAAACTAGATCTAAAATCCCCCACAATGTTCATGTTCCAAAAAGACATGTAATTTGCAATATGTAGGATTGTACATTGTACAATTGCTCACCCTATGTGCTCGAAATGTTTACCTGTTTTCTTAATTTTGAGCAATTTGACATATTAGATCCAGCAAAAATATGAATTATCTGTTCCACTTCCACTTCCAATAATAAACTTCAAAATGTCAATCCCCAATTACCTGCTCTGACACTGTCACAGACAACATAAAGCTGTGCAGAGGACACGAATATGGACAATGCCTTACTAGAGAGAGAGAGAGAGAGAGAGAGAGAGAGAGAGAGAGAACCTGGAAGACAAGCGAATTATAAGAGGGTCTTCTGTCACTTGGGGAAGAAAACAGAGCAGCAGGTGTTGAAGGCCTTGAAGGCTTGGCTTTGAAGCTGTTGGAGATAAACGCGTAGTCTCTGTTTGGAGATGGTGAAAAAGCACAATGACTAGCCATAGACTGCATAACAAACTCATCCTCCCTCCCTCTACAATCTTTCCCTCAACCCACTTACCACCATTCTCTCTCTCTTTGTCTCTCACCCAAACACAGATACACTCACAGAGCTTCGTAATCTGTAGGAGAGAGAGAGAGAGAGATAGTAGAGAGAGAGAGAGAGAGAGAGAGAGAGGTATGTGGACATGGGAGAGGAAAGTCGGAGAGTGGGGGAGTTTTTTTGGGTCATGTGGACCTACAGAATCCATGACAAGCCTGATGGCACCATTCATTTTGTGAACTTGTCTACAGGGCTTACCCTTTAATGTGTACCTATTTAATATTTATTTTTTAAAATAATTTTAGGGAAGTTCAACATTTTGACACGTCACCATCATGCTTTCGCCATTTTTGGATAATGTGATGACGTGGTCCTTTGTCGTACAAATCCGTGTTGTCTATACTGTTTTTCTTTGCAATCATCTCCTACACTAGTTAAAAAAGGGTAGGTTTGTTAGGTTTATGTAAACGATTGTGCACAATTGAAATTTGCATATAGTCACAATCACCGGTCCAAATAAGTTGTAATTAGATCGTTTTCCTTAAAAACATCACAAAAAGATTTTGAAGCTTATTTTTTTATATAAAATGATGTGAAGTGGATGATTGATAATTTTTGAAAATATGTGGACGGATTTTGTGTTTTGTATAACACTATTTTTTAGTAAAATTGAATAAATTTTTGAAGGACTAGATTATTGACATTATTTAATATCATGAATTAAACTTTGAACTATTATATAGTTGGTGATATAAAATCTTAAATTGTGTTTAGAGTTAATAACTCATAATCATTTGGATAAACTTGTACTTTTCTCTATACTCCCAATAGATTTCCCACGACGGTTGAGAAAATGAAATGTTAATTAAACTTTCCTATTTTAGTTAAAGTATATTATGGATTTTATCCTACAATTTTTGACATGTTATCCATCTAGTCTGACAAATAAGGGTGAGATACAAAAATTGGGTGTGTCTCGTAAAACCATACATAATAATAAGGGGTGAAATGAGGGGACAATTTATTTATTTTTTCTCCAATTCATGCTAACTTCGGTTTCTCCGTCCTCTTTTTTTCTCTTTAGCGAAAATTGGGACTAATGCTCTGTTTGGTAGAAAAAGACGAAAAATATGAATAATTCATTTTTCTTCTTTTCTGTTTAGTTAAATGAATGAAAAATAGAAATGATTATTTTTTTTATGTATGGTATATATGAAAAAATGAAAAGAGAGTCAACAATATATATACATAATTTTTCATTTTATTCTTATATGAGATTAGTATACATATTATACACCATATCACTAAAAAAATAAAATAAAAAATAAAAACGCACACACACATACACACACTGTTAACACATAATGCACCAATAAACATACATCCTAATACATCAAAAAAAAATATACACATGCTAATACACCAAAAAAAATACACACTAACTACAACCAACAAATAAATCTTCAACAAAATCAATTCAAGCAGTAAAAGCATAATATACTTGAACAAATAAAATTTCATCCCAATATCAATCCCATTAAAGCAAAAAAGGAAAAATGTACTGTCACATGATAAAATTTCATCCTAATAACATCACCAACTTCTTTCAAGCATTTCCTTCTGGAATAAAATAGAAACCATCTATCGACTACGATTCCACCCAAGAGTTTTGCCAAAACCATGACTATACCAACTGAAATTAAAACATGTAGCAAACTGAATATTATGTCCCCAAACTAATCTGCCATGACTCAAACATTTCTTAAGCCTTGCATCAATTTGCTCAAAAGCTCCAAGCGACGGTCTGCTGGTACACCAAAAAATACTCTCATATTTGCTTGGCTCTTAATCAAGAATAAAAATGCATCCATCTGGGGGTGTTCTGGAACACCAATAGTCATGAAATCAACAAATACTTCGTTCTCAGTATAACAACGTGCCTTTGTTTTCTCTGCAATTGCAATTCCTTTCTCTGCTATAATATTTCCCTTCTCTGCTATCACATTTCCCTCCTTGATTGCCTCTGCAACCTTGTTAATGCCACTGTTGATGTTTTCAATATGCCCCTCAAACACATCCATCATTCCATGTTTTCGTTGAGAAGGATTACTTACAGGGAAACGGTTTTCGAAGAGGGAACTCGGAGAAGAACAGAGGAGTGCTTGAGGGCTGATTGCTAAAGGGAATCTGAGGATGCAAAAGTTCTAAAAAGGCATAAAGACCTCCTATTTATACTATTTTTCAATGAGTGGGAAACGAGAAGTTGAGCCATCATTAAGGAATTTGAAAGGGGTGGCACCAGACGTACAAGTAATCGTCACTATTAATGAGGCGTGTTTATTGAGCCTCCAATCTCTTCACGCCACTTGTCCCACGCTGCAAAAAAAATGGAGGCTAGGGGCAATTGGTGGGACTCTAGGTGGCTCTACGGCCCCCAGACTGACACGTGGAAAGATGGAGCCGTTCTGATGTCTAAAAGGCACCGAGAAGATAAGCCGAGATATGGTGTCTCAGGAGAGTCGAGTACAATAGTTGACACCACATTTAATACGATGTGACCTCTCATTTATGGCGGAATGAGTGATGGTAACAAGACTATTAATGAGCGCCTGCATTCTGAGAGTCTAGGCTTACCATCATGATGGCTACTACGCCTAGTATATACGATCGGCTCTCTCCAAGGAATTGTTTTCTCGAGTATTCAATGCTCAGTAGCGGGTGTCACGCCGATCTGAGGGATGTGGAAACTCAGGAAAGGACATAAATGCTCGGCATGACGCCGAACACTCGTTCTATCGTCCTAGCATTAAGTAGGAGAAGACTTGAGTGGAGAACATTCATTGCGCGAGGAGTGGCTTGTCAAACATTAAATGTCCAGATGAGATTGAAGATCTTTGACAATCATTACAACTTCAGGTATAAATACTTCTCAGAAAAATGAACAAAGGTACACAAGATTGAACCAGAAAAATATTATTCATTGAGCTTGAGCCTCAAATCTTGAGACTGACTTAAACTTTCGAGGGGGTAAGTCAGTTGTTCACCTGACCTCATTTTTTTGACCCTGTAATTATTTTAGGTTCATCAAATAAGAAATCACTATTTTAAACTATTACAAGAATTATACCGTATAAAAACAATATTTTGTGCGCTTTGGTCATGTTGTAGGCACTCCGGGAAAGAAAAAGTCACCTCAGTGGGACATGGTTACATAAATGTTCTTAGGGGAATACACTGTAGATAGTCAACCGATTGAATATGGACCGAGTCACAATGCGATTAAAAAATTAATCCGATTCATATATTCTGGTAGATATCAATATTTCGACAATCAGAATAAAATGACTTTAAATAATGTTTCATAAAATAACTAAGAAAAATTTGGAGGTCAATCATTTTATATAGACTTGTTTGGACTTAAATTTGTTAAAGAAACTTATTTGTTATAAAATTTATTTTTCGTCAATTTTATCGAATTATCTCTTCTCATAAGAAGTGAAATAAAAGTAAAAATTAAAATTTTTTTAAATTTTAAGAGTTTGATTAACATTAAAATTTTTTTTCTCTCATATATATATATATACATAAAAAATAGTAACATTCAACTATAAAAAAAAAGTTATAATTTAAATATAAAAAATAATATTATTTAAATACAAAAAAATAATAACATTTAAACATAAAAAAATAATAACATTCAATATTAATATTTTTAAAAAAATAACAATAATAATATGTTCAACAAAAATAGTCATATGTTTAACAAAAACAGTAACATGCTTAAGAATAATTATCTCTTTCATATCTATCGATATATAAAATAAGATTATTTATATATAAATATATATAGTTGCATTAAAAATTAAAAATAATCAAATTCAAACGCAAAAACACTCGTACACACTTGAGAGATTAAAGAGACCTTCAAGTTACCACCTGAAAAAGGTCGGGTTGATCTCAAATAACTATATTTTATCATAATCTCGAGAGATGGGAATCATTGTTTCTGTCAAACATCGAGTATGATCATACCTTGGCAACCATCGAGGAGGTATGGGTTACCTTGGTACCCATTGGGGCAGTTACAGATATACCCAGAACCCTTGACGCGAGGTAGAGTAGTACAGATGCTATTAACGGCTTTACATGCATAATTATCCATGTCCATTTGAGCCACTTCACAGGTTTGATTTCCAATTGACCAATCAAGCACCAGAGGAAGCTTTTCTCGGTGAGCTAGGTCTTGAAAAGAGTCTTTGGTGAAGGTGAATTCACTTTCTTTGGCGACAAAGGCATAGCTGCATAGATTGAAGTCCGATACGTTTGTATGATTGTAATAGCTATCTAACTTCACCGTCCAGTTCTGCAGCCCTTCAGGGATCGAAAGTTGACAACAGCCGGCGCCGGAGCAGGAATCTACGATGACAGCCTCTTTCTGGTCACATATGGACATGCAGCCGGCGGTGTACCGCTGGCCATCACCTTTGAAGCCCTGAACAATGGCGTAAGTGTCACAACCAACTGCTGTGAACTTATTTTCGGTATCTGAGACAGTGAATTTGGATAAGCTGAGGGAGTATAACTGATAATCCGTGTTGTTCCCCTGCCGATCATAACAGTCATAGCTTACATACTTCAAGATTTGTATCTGACCTTTATCCAGAAATATGTCTGTAACATTTACATTACTACTCCCTAAAAAGGCTTTTGGAGGGTTGAAAGAAACGTCACAATTGATGAAAAAGAATTTGTTTAGATAGCAATCTTTTGTCATGCCGAATGGATACGGGATTTTGACATTCCCACAATGATCATCGCAGTCGGGTTTGGCGATAACTGTTGTCGTTGGAATAGCAGCGGATGATGATGTTGGGAACAACACCAATATTGCAATAGTGATCAGTTGCGCTAGCATCGCAGAAAACCCCATCATCACTGATTTGTAAATATATATTTTTTTCTCAGGTGGTAAAAGTTTGTGTGTGCAGACTGCTAAACATGCTGTTCTGCTGTGCTCCTTTCGTAGGCACTCGGAGGTAGACAAGGGTCTGCGAAGCTCAAAATTATTCAAAGTTTGCCGATATTCCACACCACCTCTTGGTCTTGGTTGACCCACAAAATCATGTAATATTGTGAATTCCAAAACACAACACCTAAACAGTTGATCTAATTCGTTGTTAAGTGATATAATTCTAATAAAAAAATTTTGATTATTACAGTTGTCACAATATTATCAAGTCAAAATTTAATTCAGATTCTTAAGTTCAAATTGGGTAAGCTCACAAAATTATCGAAATTAATTTTCTAACCCTATTTACGTGATGTACCCACAGAATCAACAAATAAAATAAAACAATAATACGGATGGTTTGAGCGCTGTGTCCACTTATTTTTTCAAGTAAACTCACTAATCTAACTATTCATATTGATTTAAAATATAATAATTGAGAGATATTTTGAGGAGTTAATTGTATTATAACTTTCAACCATATAATTTGGACTAATTAAATTGGTGTCAAACCTATTATAATTGTTTTATTAGTTGCGCATTTTAATATTACACATAGTCCACAATTAATTAAACACAGTAACAAATTTGGTTAATAAATTTAATCCTAAGATAATTACTCAGTAACTTTTTTGTGAAATCAATTTCCCATGCAATTTTATCTATAGTTCAAAGAAATTTCCTTTTTATTTCTGTTCTCCCCGCCCTCCTTTTTTCTTTTTCCAATCTTTTAAGAAAATATTTTTCATATAATCAAGTTCAATTTTGACTCTCTTGACACCTGAAATCAAGACATTGTCAAATGTTTCTTCCGACTCCTCGTTGAGATTAATTTGATCAGTAAATTCGATCAATTTTAATATTTAGACCAAAATTAATAATTAATAAATCTAAATAATATTACATGTCAAAAACAATTGGATAAAGTGAGCCTTCAATTTCACCGCGAAGCAAAATCTATAGGGGGGAAATGCCCATTTTAGTTGGATCCACATGAAGTTTACTTTGACTCAAACCTTTTGGCGGGACTCAAACGAAGCCACGCATTAATCGTTTTTGAGGAAAAGTTGTACATTGTTTCGCCTTTTTGCTCCTGGGGTTTGTTTGCTGAGCGAGAGAATGGTGGAAAAAAGGGGAAAGAGAAAAAAAATAAAAGATCTGTTAAAGCAATAGAGGGAAAATTTATTGTCAATTTCATGTTCCGTAGCCATATGGTAGAGCTACTTTTAAATAATTATACATAAGGGTAATTCAAACAATTAAATAAAATTTCTTGTAACTTTCTTACTTTCCAAACTACAGAATGAAATTTTCTTAAAACTTTCTTACAAAATTTTCATCCTAATCAAACACATACAAGAAAATATATACTTTTTCACTTTCTTTTCTTTCACTTCACTTTCTATCATCTTTTTCTTTCTAACCAAACAAACCCCTAATAAAATTGAGTGGGACAAAAAAACTAAAAGTGTTTGGCACTTGAAAAAAATTAACACGTGCCTTGCACGGGATATCCATTTGGGTAATTCCGTGAGGTGAAACGTTTTTTTATTAGAGCATTTAAAAATAAATTAAAACTCATAATTGACACAATTTAAAAATTCGGAACAAAAAATATTTTTTTTTCTTCATTGAGTAAATTGATCATAAGAAGATCAACAACATTTGTGCTACCGCCCTTAGTCGGTTTCAGTAGATGGTTAAAGTTTTGTACTCCTTCAATGATCGTGGATTTGATTCTGCTCGTGGTAGTAGGTAGTTCTTGTGAATCAGATGTTGTTGAAGATACTAAATGTTCAATTTATCCCCGGTAATGTTTTGGCAACTAACTCAACTATAATTCTAGGTCAGTAGCTATAATTCAAATCAAACATTCTACAGTGAATACAAAATTCAAATAACGTCTAGTAGATATTCCACCTTTGGTCGTCCCCCTTTACCCTCTTTTTGAGAAAATATTCAATTATGTGATTTCATCATAACCATTAAATTATCACAAGTTTTTAAATAAATAAATTAAAAATAATTAATTAAATTAACAAATTAAATAAATAAATTAGTTTCCTATGACATTGTTCTTTCTTTATTGAGGTGGGAATAGAAATTATGATGGAATAAAAATTAAAAGTCTTCTAGCCCAAACATTTTCTTCCATGCACGTCAGGGGCAGCCTTAAATAAAATGGAGCTAACAACAAAAATTAAATGAGGTCCTATTAATTTTTTAAATAAATTTTAAGATTTAAATTATTATAAAATATTATTTACATTATTGTCTTTTGAGATGCAAAAATATTTATCAAATTTTTGTATTTAAGTTTTATTAACATGTTTTTTTTTAAAATAGATATAGTATAGTTAATTCGAACAAAATGTGATACTTAATATAATAGTAAGATTTAATTTTATTAAATTTAAATTTAATATAATCAATGAAAAGAAACAGAATTATAAATAATAAAACTTAAGTTAAATAACATAGAATCAAATAGTGTTTTATGTTGCCATAAACAACACAAACAAATTATGAAGAAATTAAAATCAAATCTATAAAATATTAAATTTAATTTTTCTGGAGGTACTGAAATAAAACTGGACTTAATTGAATATGTATTTAAAAATTTTATTTTAAATATTAGACTTAAAATGGCGGTCTAAATGGGCGGGTAATTTAATATCTATGTCATTGACCCGACCCTGATGCCTGTGACATTTATCAAAATCTTTCTTAGAAATGGTTTGGGAAAATTAATGAAAGAGGTGTAATTTCAGAGGTTATTATAAAGTCTTGGTCAAGATAACAAACTTCTCTCAAGCCTCATGGATGATGGATTTGGGATTATGACATCCCCACAATTATCATCGCTGTCTGGCTTGCGGAGGCCAGTCTTCCTTCTGCCCATTCCACACGGAGTCGTGGGTTGTGGTGGTTAATCCACACAATCACTTTCTCAAATTTATATTTTAAATTAAGATAAAAAAAATGTTATTTATATCTAATTTAGGTCGACAAATTAAGTTTAAGTAGCATTACTTAATAAATATAGATGATTTGATCGGTGGTTTCTATTATTTTTTAAATAAAATTTGTCGATCCAATCATCCAAACTAATTTAAGACAGAAAATTTGAAAAACATTTTGAGAATTGTAACAATGTTAATCATGTAAAACTTTCAATTATATAATTTGGACTAAATTTGTTATTGTCTTTTGGGATGCAAATATATTTAGCAGATTTTTAGTTTCAACTTTTATTGACATGTTTTTTAAAATAGATAGTATAATTAATTCGAACAAAGTGCACTACCAAATATAATGGTAAGATAGAGTTTTATTAAAATTAATATTAATATAATCAATGAAAAGAAACCGAATTATAAATAATAAAACAAAAGTTAAATATCATAGAATTAAATGGTGCTTTATGTTGACGTAAACAACAAAAACAAATTATGAACCAGCTGAAATAAAATTTAAAAAATTTTAAATTTGAATTTTTTTTAAGATACTAAAATAAAAATGGACTTAATTGAATATATATTTAAAAATTTTATTTAAAATATTAGACTAGATTAAATTTTCGTAAAATAAGGACCTAAAATGGCAATTAATTTAATGACTATGCCATTGAACGGGCCCTAATGTGCATGACATTTATGAAACTCTTTCTTATGGTGTTGTGAGGATTAAGGAAAGAGGTGTCGCATATTATTAGAAAGTCTTGGTCTAGATAACGACCTTCTCTCATGCCTCATGGGTTTGGGAACTCCTTTTGCCCATTCATCACGCAGTCGTGGGTCGTGGTTGACCCATACAATCACTTTCTCAAATTTATATTTTAAATTAATATGAATCGGATAATTTTTTATAGACTAAATTTATGCACTAAAATTTGTACTAAATCAACTGCAGCTGTTAGATCAGTGATGAGATCCACTGATCCAACGGCTGCAAGTTGTATGATGAAAATTTTAGTACACAAATTTAGTGCATTTAATATTACTCTTATGTAAAATATGATTTATATCTAATTTAAGAACTTACTTTGAGGAACAAATGTTAGATAGGAATGAATTTCATCTATATTGAGACTTCTTGTTGATTTAATAACTATACCGAATTAGGTCATCATTTGCGAGACTTCAAGAAAAGTTCACAAGCATTATTAATTTAACAATTAAATAAATTTATCAATAAATTTGGTTTAAGTATAATTACACAATAACTTTTTTTGTGACTCAATTTCCCATGCAACTATATCTAAAGTTCAAAGTAACTTCTTTTTTATTTCTCTTCCTAATTTTTTTTCGGTCTCCTAAGGAAATATTTATCATATAATCACCTTCAGTTTCGACTCTCTTGAAACATATAATTGAGATCTTATCAAATACCCCTTTAACTCCTGTTTCTTGCTAATTTGGTCAATAAATTTAAAGAAACATTTTTTTTTGTCTATTTCTCTTTTACCCTCTTGTTTTTACATAATTAGGATTTATGGATTTCTCTTAATAATTCTGCTAATCACACACTGAGTGTCACATCTCTCTACACTAAACAACTTATTCTATGTGAAAATTCTTTGCTTTGAACTTTCAAAATAATAATTTGAGTTATACATTTATTAAAGTACAATAACAGTTGATATTAATTTAATTTTTATCTAATTTAATTTAACATAACAGAATATATTATAAAAAAGAAAATTCTCTCCCAAAAACATCATCTTCTCTACTCAACTTTCAATAATGTCAAACAATTCAACCAATACATTCATTAATGACAAACAATTTCACTAATCTAGACTAATTTTCACTTCTCTCTTTCTCCTACCTCTTTTCCTTTTGTCCACTTTAATTTTAAATTATTTTTTTTTAAAAAAAATAAATAAATTATTATTTAAAAATAAATATTACATGATCAATATTTAATTTTTAATATTATGATTACTATATTATGTTTTGTTGCTTGTGATA